ATTAGAATTTTGTTCTACAATTCCTACCCATCTAATAAAGACAATCTATCGCAGTCTTGTCCAGAGTGGTTGGTGGTGGCAGATGGGCACCATCTAGTTCTTCTGGTCTCAGGTTAGAAGAGACTGGTTCATGTGAGCCATGAGTTCTTGGCATTATTGCTTCAGTCTTTTCATTCTCCTTTGCTCTATTGGGAAGCAACCAATAGTTACTTCTTAGATGGTCACTCACGGGATTTTAAGACCTCAGAAGTTATTCACCAGATTTGGTTATAGAACATTACATGTATGAACTCTGTTTTCCACCAATTGACCTAGATGTTCCCAAGACTAAGGGGTGCATGGTTCTTGACATAAGTTAATTTTAAAAATTCTTACAACCCTCAAACTCAAATTCACTGTCATCGAGTCAATCCCAATCCATAGCAACTCTATGTAACAGGACAGAATTGTCCCTGTGAGTTTCTGTAGCTTTTTATGGGAATAGAAAGCCTCATCTTTCTCCCTTGTAGCAACTAGTAGTTTTGAACTGTTCACCTCGTAGGTAGCTGCCCAAAGCATGGCTACCACGCTACCAGGGTTTCTTACAACAACCCTGGCAGATGAGAATTTTCATGATCACCATTTCTATACAAGAAGCTGAGGCACTGAAAGATTCAATAACTTTCCCAAGGTCACACGGGTAGTGAGTGGCTGCACTGGGTGTGGTTGGTGCTACAACAGTAGTTCAAGGAACTCATGACCTGAGGTCCTTCCTTGTCACTGAAAATGAAGGTGTGACATAACGGCAAATACGGCTTTTAGGGACAGCCATAGGCATCAAACCTGACTCCTGGCTCTTCTTTCCACTTCCCCAGCCACATCATCCCTGCCTCCTCTTTTCTCCCTACTCCGTGGCTGCCAGGCCAGAGGACCATTGACCCTGTCTCAGAACTCACTGGGCTTTGGAGGTCAGCTTTGTCCATCACTAGATTGTGTCCTCAGACTCCCTGGGGGCATAGTGGGTTATGGACTGCTCTCTACAAGCTCAATAGTTCAAATTCACCAATCACTCTGAGGGAGGGTGGGACTTTCTGCTCCCATCAAGATGGACATCTTCAGAAACCAATAGAGGCAATTCTACTCTATCGTTAGGGTTGCTATCGACAGAGTTGTGACATTGACTCCATGGCAGTGGGAGATCAATGCCTTGGCCACATCCCTGCTTTTCTCTGAATCTCAATGTCCTCGTGTGCAAAAGTGGAATGCTAATACTGCCTCCAGGAAGCTATTGTGAGAACGTCTGAAGATCATTATGAAGCATTGAACATGTTGAAAATCAAGGATGTTCCTTTGAGAACTAAGGTGCACCTGAGGGAAGCCAGGGCATGTCCCATCGCCTCCTATGCATGTGAAAGCTGGAGAATGGATATAGCAGACTGAAGAAGGATCGATGCCTTGTGGTGTTTGTTGGCTAAGACAATGGAAAATACGATGGATTCTCAGAAGCACAAACAGATCTGTCATGGAAGAAGTACAGCTAGAAATCTCCTTCAAAGCGGCAATCTTGAGAGGCCATCTCACACGTACTTTGGACATGCTGTCAGGGATGACTGTTTCCTAGAAGAGGGTATCATTTTTGGTAAAGTAGAAGGAAGGGGGAAAGAGGAAGACTGTCCATGTGATGGATTAACACAGGGGCTGTTGCAAAGGGTATAATCACAACTGTGAGGATGCAGTCAGTGTTTCGTTCTGTTGAGAACAGGGTTGCTATGAGTCCCAACTGACTCAAAGGTGCTCAACAATAACCACATGAAGCATTTGACACAGGTCTTGCATTTGTTGTCTATCAGGGTATAAATTACCCCCAAACTTGGCTACAATGGCATTGACTTACAAGGTTATGTCATTTCTCTGAGTCGGGAATTTAGGGGGTGGTTTTGACTCAAGGCTCTTACGACATTACCACCAAGATGTTGGCTAACGGTGCATCATCGGAAGACTTGGCCGAGGCCAGTGGATGTGCTTCGAAGGTGGCTCACTCACCCAGATGCCAGATCAGCCGTGACTGCTGGCGGGAGGCCTGTCCCTCACCACTTCCATTGCTCCAAAGAGGTGCCGGAGTGGCCTCACTCCATGACAGCTGCCTTCCCCAGCAGGAGGGATCCAAGAGAAAGGAAGGCAGGGATGTGGTGTCTTCCATGACCTAGCCTCAGCAGTGGCACCTGTCCCTTCTGCAACATTCAATTCCAAGTGGGAGTGTGAGTACCACAAGGCAAGATCACTAGAGGTCATCTTGGACACTGGCTACCACTACTCCTGATATGGGTAGCCACTCAATAAAGGCCAGCCTCCCTCTTCCCTGGCTCTTCGACCCAGTCTACCCACTTCTCTGGCCAGCAGTCCTGCTTAGCAAGGCCTAAGTTAAACAGAGCTTGCACAGCCTCTGAGTGGTGAGGGAGAATCCCTCCTGTGGCCACCCCTCACCATCACCCCCATCACCACACACCTCCGCCAGCACAGAGACTCCAGGTCCTTTGACCGTGAGCCTGGGCCAGCAGAAGCAGCCCTGCCTGGCACCATCCTAATGCACATCTTCACCAAATCCCGAAGACAGCCCGCAGCAAAGCTTCATTAATCTTTTACGGGGTTCATCTAATTGTGTCTGAGCTGAGCTGAGAAGGCCCCATGATGAGGGTGTGTGCCAGCAGCCTGTAAAGGGTTAACCCATTAGCCCGTATCCTGGTGAGCTCATCCCAGCTGGAGCCTGCTCAGTTGCTGGGATCTGCTGCACACTGCCTTCTGCATGGGGCCTGGGAGGCTCTCTCTGGCCGGGATGAAGGACGGGAGCAGAAACTCACTGCTAACAACGCGCACCCCATGTGAACACCCAGTGACTGCCGGGCCCCTCCTCCTGCCCCGGAACCTCAAGAACAGTAAGTAAGGAGAAGATTGTCTCCCCTGACCTGTCTCCATTTCCTGGGAGAAATGAGCCGGGTTTAACTTTGCTGGGGGAGTGTGCTGTGTCTTGGAGCTGGAGGTGAAAGGGATCCATGAGAAATAGGCAAAGGAGATGGAATGTAGCCTTGGGCCGGGGCTAGGCTGGCTGCCTAGAGGAAGGGGGCTTGTGCAGTGAGGGTCCTGACGGAGCATGGGAACCGAGATGTGAAGGAGAGCCCCTCTGCTTTGAGCCCTGGAGAAGGGGAGCTACGTGCGGAGGGCGGTGTCTAACACCCAGCCCTCACCCTGTGCAGCCATGGGAGGGGCGGGGGAAAGGAAGGGGTGTTGTGAGCAGGGGGGTGTCCTCCTAAATCCATTCAGAGGCAGACAGTAAGTGCAAGGCCTCCTTCAGACCCCAGCAGAGTCCATAGGCAGGATCTCAGACCCACACTGTCCTCGGGGCCTTCCCACGTCTGACCTCAGCACCCTCCGTCCCCTCCCTCCTGCAGGTGTGGCAAGCACCCACGGCAGGTGGCAGGGAGACAAGGTGTCCCACGCCCATCTGAGCAGACTTTGTCTCAGAAAGGGGCAGCAAACAGGGCTGGCACACATCAGCACGGCCGGAAGCACAGCTGCGTCACATCTGGGAACTGGGGTGGCGTGCGAACCCCGTACCCATTATGTTATGGCAGGGCTATTGTCCTCCCTGTCCCCGGGCAGGACCTGGGTGCTGGCCACGTGGTGAGGGGACGGAGGCAAGGGGCCCGGTCTAGACTGAGCGTGAACTTTGGGGCGCTGTCCTTCCTGGAGACGGCGGCCTTGGCTGTGGCGGCCACAGCACAGGCTCAGAAACACTGCAGCCTCTGTTTTATCTGCTCCCGCACTGGGCCCCACTCACCTTATCAAAGGGGTGAGCCTTCACCAAGTGTGCAGGGGAAGCAGTGTGGGGAGATAAGAGACCCTGAGGGAGAGCTGGGTGGGGTACCCCTGAGGACTAGTGGGGGGAGAGCATGGCCTGGCGAACTCACACCCCAGTCTTCCTCAGGAAGAATCAGTGGTGTGACCTCTGCCCCTTCCATTCTGTCACCTGCCTGGCCCACTTCTCCTACCCTGACCTTGCTGGCCTGGGCCCAGTCTGCAAGCTCTGAGGTCAGGCATGCCCTCTCTCACCTCAGCCTGGCAAAAGAGGCTGCATTCAGTCCTTGTAATTCCCAGAATAGCCCAGCTCCTATCGGAGCTCCAGGCAGAGGGGCCTGGGAAGGAGATGATTGGGAAGGGGCAGGATAAGTCCAGACCCAAACACAGCCGGGATCTCTTAGAATACCAGGGTTGCCAGAGAGAATTCAGGACACCTGGTTCAATTGGGATTTCAGCCAAACAAGGAATACTATTTAGTGTCAGCATGTCTTGTGCACGAGCTAAGGCATACTTGTGCTAAAAAGAATATCACTTATCTGAGATTCAGGTTCAAATGGACATCTTGTCATTTTCTTTGCTAAATCTGGTCGCCCTATGAAGAGCAGCGAGGTTTCGGCACATTTACCAGGAGGTGGGGCCCCAAACAGACTGGGGAATCAGTTCTGAGGCAAAAACATTTTTAAAGGTGGGGGGGGGCTGAGTTTTGAGATGAAAATGTGTAGGGTGCAAATATGGGGTGCTGGGAGGCTCGGCAGGAATGACATGAAACAAAAGAAAGGAAAGAAAAATAAAATAGGGCTTTTAACTTATTTATTTGGTTTTGTACCTTGGGTGATTCTGTTAACCGCAAAGTTGGCAATTTAGGCCCACAAAGAAGTGCCCTGGAGAAAATGCCTGGCGATCTAATTCTGTAAACTTTAGCCACTGCAAGCCCTATAGGGGGCACAGCCCCACTCTGACATACATGGGGTGGCCAGGAGTCCAACCAACTGGGTGGCATTCATTAGATTTGCAGGTGCTGGATTTAAAAGACCAGCATTGGAGATCAGGCAGCTCAGAGCCTGTTTGCTTCTCTGTCAAATGGGAAGTGCAGTAACAGCAATGACCCAGGCACACGTGAATTAAGAGAGGGTCTGGGTGAAGAAAGTGGTTCTAACTTGACGTTTGCCCAGGTGATGCTGGTGGTGACATTGATGGCTTCCCTTCCATGCATGTCCCTGCTTCTCTGCTAACCCCCAGGTAGAGTCCCCAGACTGGGACCCACATCCTCAGCAGCTCCACCCAAAGGTCCTAGGCTTAATGCCTCACCCATAATTACAAGGGGTCCAGTTAGATTTGAATCTCAGATCCACCTGCGTCCACCATCACCATTATAGCCACTGCCTGCGCCCTATCACAAGCACCTTCCATTTCTGTGTCCCCAAAGGAGATCAAGCGCAGCCCTTCTTTCAGAAGAAAGGCAACGGGCTCACTGAGAAACAGGCAAGATGCAATCCAGGCTGCAAAGCTCACATTCCAATCTGGCTCGCTCCTTGCTGGCTGGGTAGCTTTGGGCAACTCATCCAACATCTCGGATCCGAAACTTCCTTACTTGAAAAATGAGGGTGATGATACGCGTCAGAGAAAGCCCTTAGCATTGTCATTCCTCGGACATACTTGGGGTCGGGTCGATGGCGAACATTATCATTGCATGAAAGGAATCTGGCATCTCCAAGCGTATCGCCTTCTTTGGCTGCTTTGCAGATGATGCCAGGGTGTCGATGAGACTTACAGTACTCTGAGCAGCAGATAGCTCTCAGTCTTGGTAAGATGGGCAGGGAGTTTGAGGGCCAACAAAAAGGGAGTGTCATCAACTTTTCCCCCCTCACTGTTGTTTCTCCTGCCCCCTTCTCAGCCTCTGTCCTCCTGCCATCCTTGCCCTGAGACCAGAAAGTCTTAACAACAATGACTTGGGCACAATGACTTGGGGTAGAAATGCTGCTAACTTCTTAGAGCCTCAACCAGAAATTTCAATGAACGTGAAAGTGCAGACTTAACTCTACTGTGCAAAGTCTTCTTTTCCCTCTCCTGCAATTAGGGAGTGCTGATGGTGCAGTGGTTATGCGCTGGGCTACTAACTACAAGGTCAGCTGTTTGAAACCACCAGCTTCTCTTCGGGAGGGCTGTCTACTCTTATGGAGGTATCTTCTCAGAAGCCCACAGGGGTTCTTCTACTAGGCCCTAGAGGTCACTAGAAGTGGGAATCCACCCAATAGCAGTGGGTTCCGGGTTTGGGTTGTTTATTGCATCATTTCACCAATGTGGGTGGGACCTCAGCAAAGCACTGAGCTACTTGCCAGAAGGATGGGAAGCGGAGCCAGTCCCAGACCCAGTCCTCAGCAGTCGGTAAGGAAGAAAGGACTCTGGCCACTGCGTACGAGACACACACCACCACGCATGTTACTGACAGCCACCCTTCCAGAAAGCGGTACATGTCAGACACTCAGGAATCTACTGAAGGGAACCCTAATAAAGCCTTATTATCTTGGACACTTGGTGTCCACAGCTTGGATCATCTTGATCACCAGTTTCAGTTCACAATCACCAAATTGCCATGAAGTCAATTCCAACCCACGCTTCCAATCCACAGCGCGTGTCCGCGTGGCACTGTGCTCCATCCGGCGTTCCACGGCTGATTTTCCAGAAACACATTGCCAGGCCTTTCTTCTGAGGCACCTGTGGGTGAACTTGAACCTCCAGCTGAACCCTGCTGACCGCTTACACTAAATCAAGTTGAAAACGAAGGACGTATGAGTATTTGGTGAAGAGTCAAAGGCAGTATTTCCAGCCAACTCTCTCTCTGCCAACAGAGCCATCTCTTCACCTCATTTACCAGAGGTGCCCCAGAGCACGGACCCCTGAGCTCTTCCCGGTAGAGGGTCACCGTCTTGGTCATGCTTGTCACTCTCAGTGTCTAGAAAATTGCCCCACACAGAGGAGGGGCTCCAAAGGTGTCGGTGAGGGACTGATGGTTAACTTAACACTACCTTATCCGTCTGGGGGGGACAAAGAAAAACAAACCAATGCAATAACTCAACAGCCAAACACGGAAAAGATATATGTAGGCACAGTTCCCAAATGTGTGCTGAGTACCAATCCACAACAGCGCAGGCAGCAGCTGGTGTGATTCCAGTTAGAGGAGTCTTCTTGGAACTCGTTCCTTCAGCCAGCCACATCCGGTCTTCGTTCCAGCTTCTGTTCCCACCTGGGGACTGGCTTCCGGAAAGGCCCTGGTTTCCTTCAGGCCTGAATCTTTCTGGAGCTAGGCTAAAATTCGCTCTAATTTTTATCCTCTCTTGCTCTCTCTCAACCCCGTTTCTCCAAGAAGCACCCTCCTCCACTCGGGACCCCCTTTTCCTTGGAATCTTCCTTGTGGATTTCACTCCAACGGCAAGTGATTCCCTCACCCCAGCCCCCCTTCCCCTTCATTTCCTTTTCACATCTCTGTCTTATTCCAGGGTCACTTCTCTACTGTCCGCGCCCCTACTTTACTGTCCTGGGGCCGTTTGTCTCTCTGCACACCCTTACTTCTTTACTCTGAAATGTGTGGACCGCACCTCATTGTCCCAAGGATAAACACGAGTATTGGCTTTGGGATTTTCAGAAATCAGTATCAAGCACTGGCCTCACCTCAGGCAATCTGACAAGTCAGGGCAGTAAGGAAATACACCTCTCCTGACTTCCTGCTAGTAAAAAAAAAAAACCCTTGACGTCACCATCCCGTTTCTTTGAGATGGAGAAACCAAAGGGCACAATTTGCTAAGTGAGTTTGTTATACAGTTGCACGGCTAACCAGAATCAGGGTCTAGACTGAGGCTTGCCTGGTATTCCAACCAGGAGACAGGTGCTTGAGTGCTCACATTCCCTGTGGGTGTGGGAGGGGGAAAGACTCACACTGTGATTTGTCCTGGGCCCCTCTGTCCCCTGGAGTTTGTCCTGTTGTTAGATAGGACAAGGGGGGCCTCAAGACCGCAAGAGAAAGGACAATGGACTAAACGAGCTGCCCAGACGTCTCTGCCTTACGGTGACCCATGGGTGA